ACAACAGATGCAACTAATCTCTTGAGAGGATAGTTGTTTTCTTCTTTAACACAGCAATATAAAACATTCACAAATCAATTACACTGCCTAAAAAGAAAAAAGAGCAAAAACCTTAACCTCCTAATCACACTGAGTGACACATAGTGGAACAGTTACTGAAAATGCAAGGCTCAACAGCAATTTCTCTCACTCCCCAATAGCATCCTCTGCTCTGCACTGTTCACTACACATCTCTCTTTGTCCTGAAAGCCTGGGATCTTGCTAAGCACAAAGACTATATTTCATTCTTCTCTGTGCACCCAGTACCTGGCACAACAAACTGGCACAGAGAAGTAAAAAATGATTAAATTCAGAAAGACACGATCCCTGTCCTAAAGCCAATCCATCATCTAACAGAAGTGTGATTCCTCTAAAGGTCTGTCTTTTTTAATCCTTTGATGTTCTTCTCAAGTGAACTGATCCACATTCATAGCGTCAACTACCATTTTCATACAGATGATTCTTTGACTCTTAAAGCTCTATCTCTAGCACAAATTTCCTGAACTTTAAAAACAACTCTTGATGACCAGAGTTCTTTTTTTTCACTACCCAGACCTCCCCTGGCTCACATAACCTTGTGTGTGTGTTTGGGGAGAGTGGGGGGTGTTTGTTTCTTTTTTGATTAATGAAATCACTCTGTAAGATCTATCAAGACTCTGTAATTGTAAGAATAATCATTGGAGGCTTCTAAGCAGAGGATAACTATTAGATCTCTAGTTCCAGAAAAAATCTGAAACATATTTCATAAATAAGCCAATTAAGAAGAGGAGTCAGAATAACAGTCAAGAAAGTGGGGAAAGGTAAAAGAAACAACTGATGAGGAAGGGAAGAGATGTACATAGGGAGTAAAGATCATGGTCAGACCCTCATTCAGTCAAGAAACACCCTTGAGACTTAAAATACACTATCTCCCTCCTTCTCCCCCCAACATCAACCACTCTCCCACTTTTTTATCTGCAGTCTCTCAACTCCAGCTATCACCTCTACACAAAAGACTCCCTCCACCCCATGACTCCCCAGTACCCTAATCAAAACTTTCAGTCTTTTCATCCTCAAGGGCTCTCTACTACCTAAAAATGGGGTCCTAATGCCTCCTTTAACACCCAACCTCCTTTGCTCTTTAATCTAATTTAACCAATCTACTGTTCACAACCTTATCTACCACTCCATTTCTTCCCTTAGACTTCATGAATATAGGGATCATGTCTGTCTTAGTCAGTAAGACACAATCAGCACTAAACACAGTGACTGCCATACAATATGAATACATAAACTCTATGCTCCAGCCAAAACGTACTACTTGCTATTTCTAGGATTTTAGACAACCATACCTTTATCTCACGTTCTCTATCCCAGAAAGATCTTCTCCCTGTCCAAAGCTTTTCATGTCTAAATCTTACCCTTCCAGGCCTCTTCCATCAAGTTTTCCTTCATTCCCTAGAAAAAGTTATTTATTGCCCCACAGGCAACTCTTACATCCTTTGATTATTTCCAATCATCCTTTAAAATCCAGCTCAAGCATTATCATTATTAAGCTTTTAATTCCTACCCACATCCAGAACTGATCACTACCTATTGTGTCCAAACTATGCCCCACATAGTTTTCTATTATAACAATTATACAGAAATTATTATTTAGTTCTCTAAGAATAAGGACAATGTCTTATATATCTTACTTTCTCAGCTGTAATTGCTGTGCTTAGTTGCTCAGTCATGTCCGACTCTTTGTGGCCCCAAGAACTGTAGCATGCCAGGCTCTTCTGTCCATGGGGATTCTCCGGGCAAGAATACTGGAGTGGGTTGCCATGCATCCCTCCAGGGGATCTTCCCAACCCAGGGACTGAACCCAGGTCTCCAGTATTGCAGGTGGATTCCTGACTGTCTGAGCCACCAGGGAAGCCCATTCATCCCAAATTCTGACACCATGTGGATGCTAAAAAACATTATTTGCTGAATAAAAATCCAGACAATAGGTAGATATAGCATGCTTCAGTTCTAACCTAAACCAGATGAGATTTAGGAAGGAACCCTGAAAGTCCAGAGATAATACTACCCTGATTTAAAGGTATATAATATCCTCAAAATTATATTATCTCTGTTTTATAGCTCTCTGCCCAGAGAATGTGTACTTTGGTCAATTTACCTCTAGCTTTACAACATTCTATAGAGCAAGATTATTTCACAGGTTCTATAACAGATGAAGACATGCTTCTATGTAATAAGTAGCTTAGGCTGAAATCTGCGTATTAGTTTCACATAGATCACAGATCAATTGGATTACCACAAGTTCACCTTATCAGTGTTTACATTACTATAAAGATGCTTATTATATATGCATTTCATATGTTAAACACTGATGGAATATTTTAAGTTATAATTTTTCCTACAATTCTTCCTCACCTAGCACAGTAATAAATCATGTTTACACACCCACACACAAGCATGGGCTCCAAAATCTGGTTGTCATTTTATGTGGCACAAAATAATTTTGTAAGTATGGGGATATGAGATGGACATTACAAGACAATTTTTTTTTAATTGGAGGTTATACTTAAATAAAGCTTTACAATGTTACGCTGGTTTCTGTCATACAGTGTGAGTCAGCCATAACAGTGCGTGTGTGTGTGTGTGTGTGTGTGTGTATCTATATCTATCCCCTCCCTCTTAAGCCTCCCTCCCACCAGCCCCTCCCACCCCCCCAGGTTGTCACGGAGCCCTGTGCTGAGCTCCCTGGGCTATACGGCGGCCTCCCACGNCCCACCCCTCCTGGTCACCAAAGAGTGCCAGGCTATCCCCCTAGCTATCTATTTTACACATGGCAGTGTATATATGTCAATGCTACTCTCTCAATTCATCCTACCCAAAACAGTTTTTTTTTTCTAACTGCCCAAGAAAACTGTTAAATATATTCACAAAGAGAAAATATTAATCAGGAAATCCTGAGACAAAGGAAAAACAGAAGAGGGTTATTTAAGATCGGGAGAAGTACAGGGGGGTAAGGGAAAGAAAGAAAGAAACAGAGGCAGTTTAACAGTTGTGTCTTATTTTTATTTTTTAATCACCCACAGCTCCCAGCATAATACTTCAACACAGTGGCCATGTATCTAACATTAACTGAATAAAAATAATGGAAATAAAATATGCTGCAAAGAGGTAATAGATCAAGAAAATAAAGCCCAGCTCTTTCCACCTGTTTTACGTACCATAAAAAAACAGGAGGACATGGCAGAAGCAATGTCATCCTCAAGGTAAAAGGCAAATAATGACAATTCTGGGGCAGTGGTAGAGTAAAGGATGGCTCAATCTTGAGTGCTATGCAATGATCTAAAGTTAACTGTACCTAAAACAATCTTCGACCCCAACCATTAATGTAAACCTGGGGAGCTATCTTTGGCCATTTCCACAAACCCTTCAAAGGCTACCTTTGTCAGGGACCCTCAAGGCCACCCCTAGATTTAACAACTCTCTAGGAGGACTCAGGGGACTGTGCATATACTTGCATTCATAACTAAAACTTAATATAGAAAAAGGAAACAAAACAAAATTGGCAAAGAGAAAAGGTACATGACAAAGTCTGGAAGAAAACGGAGGCAAGCTTTCAAGAGTTCTCTCCCAGTTAAGATACACAGGTACATTTAAATCCTCCAGCAACAGATTTTGATGATGAACATTAAGTACTGCCTACTAGTGAAGTTCATCAGACTCAGTGCTCTGAGTTTTTACTGGGGCTGGTTACATAGGTACGCTCTGCCTACTGCATACCAAAATTCCAGGCCTCCAGGAAAACATATTCACAATCTTTGGATAGTTCAGACACAGTCAGTCGCTCTCATCATTTTGGGAAAACTTTATCAGTGCAAGAAGCAGTTTACCATGCGTTTCCAGATGCTAACCAAGAGCCAATCTTACATGCCTTTTTAAGGACAACAATCTCAGGCCTTATTAACTCTTTTCTGCACAGCACACTACTCTTTCTTAACATTCCTCTCTTTCAAGGCTACCAGTCTGCACATGCTTGAACCAGTTTTGCACTCTAGATATTCTATAGATGAGAAAAGACACACTGCAAAAATGCAGAATGACAACTCACTTGGAAGCTGTGAGTTATACACCATAAAAAGACCTGAGTTATACACCATAAGCAGATAATTTTTAGAAAAACTCATTTTCACTTGACATTTGTTGACTCTACTACTACAAGTAAACAGCAAATAATATGTCAGATGGCTGTTGCAAGAGGCAGTGAATGGAAGGAAATTTCTGTAAGAAACAAACCTTGCTATCAAAAAGTTTATAATCGAACTTCCCTGGTGATCCAGTGGTTAAGAATCTGCCTGCCAATGCAGGAAACACAGGTTCAATCCCTGGTTCAGGAGGATCCCACATGCTGCAGAACAACTAAGCCTGAGTGCCACAACCACTGAAGCCTGCATGCCCTAGAGCCTGAGCTCTGCAACAAAGAGGAGCCACCGTCACGAGAAGCCTGAGCACCACTGGAGAGGAGCTCCCACTTGCCGCAACTAGAGAAAAGCCTGTGCACAGCAATGAAGACCCAGCACAACCAAAAATAAGTAAATTTCAAAAATACATAAAATCTAGTGATAGATGGAACCTTCTACCAAGGTTCCCAGCAAATATTTACAAATGTTAACCCTGAGGAAAGAAAATGAAGAGACATGTTCATGGAGAGAAGGATGTTGAAAGCAATCTTCATAACGCTTTCAGTAAAACAACTATTCACAATTTTAGAAATTAAGTGTTTAAGACAATAAGAATATAAAAATACTCAAAACCAATTCACTGTGCAAATGTACAGGAACCTACTACATGCTATGCACTGTGCAATGTTCTGGAATCCAAGTATAAAGAGAAACACACACTTAAAGACTATCAGGTGAGAGAAGATTTAAACAATAATCATATCATTATCTAATGTCTCCTACAGTTTACTATGTACCAAGCATTGTACTAAACTTTACATCTACAAATTCATTTAATATTTAAGACAAAAAGAGAATAACTACTTCAGATATTTTTTATTCCCATTTTACAAAGAAAAAGCATTACAGGAAAGTTAAGCAATTTGTACAAAGCAGTGCATCTTCTATCAGTGGCAACTAGTTTAACCACTCAATCTTCATTCACATTCTTGGAGCCTACCACCTATACAGAGAAAGAAAGGTTGTATAAGGTTTAATTGTGCTAAAAATAAAGTTTAAAAACTCTGTTCAGGATGGGGGAGTCACAAAAGTCTTCACAATAGAGGAAATCATTGAACTGAATCTTAAAAGATGCGCAGAAGTTGACTGAACAATCTAAGCAAGGGGAACAATATATTCCAAGTAAGAGTCCAAGAGACATATCGAGTACTTTGATTTCCCATTTGAAAACAGAATTTATGAAAAGTTTACAGAATAACTGCTATTTGCTACTATGCATTATTTTTTTTTAAAGAACTTAAGTTTTTACACACACAAATTTAAGGCAGAGTAAATGCTACATTTACATTTATTTTAACGAACCAGAGAACTGTATAATGACAGAATTTCTGAACTACAAGAGGTTTCTGGGATGAAGACACACTCAAAAAAAGGTTTACCAAAGAGAAAATTGGCAGTGCTTTGAATAAAACTGTAATATAACTTAACATAATTCATAGTCAAAATTATAAATAAGCTCAATGTTTAAAATATTTGCAAGATGTACAAGATACCATCCATTTGTCACTCCAGATCATTCATTGTATCCCAAATGCAGGCTCATTATGAACCACGTCAACAGGTTCCCTTGCCCTCTTCATTCAAATGGGTTCAGCCAATAGGTAGCATCAGCAGGAGATCGGAGAAAGAACAGATGGTAAGGGAGAGAGTAGAGACTTTTCTCCTGGGTTAGTCACCGCAGGGTTGTGTTAGGTTATATCACATAATGACAAGTCATGCTGTCAGGTCACCTTCTACACACAGCCTCCTCTGTCTCCAAGTTCCAAGGGTCACTTCCTCCCCTCACCCTTTCAGGCCTAGGGTTGGTAACAGCACCAGGTTATTATTAAGGAAAAGGTGCTATGTACATGTTGCCATTTCACATCTTGCCTATATCCCTTTATTATAATTTGTCTGTTCTTTTTCCAGCCAGAACCATTTTATGTAGAATAAAATTAAACATATTTTCAACCTCATTTGCATAGTCTAAAGAAGGGAAAGTCTTTTTAACTTAAAAGAGAAATTTTTATATAATCAAAATCAAGTAAAATTTTACCTGTATGTAATCCTGATCAAAATCTTCAATATCTAAATAAATAGTTGAGAAAATAGAGTATCAAGTCAAAGCAAAAAAATGCAATTCAAATTCTCCAACTTGCTGAAGACTTTCCTCTTTACTTACCTACAAGTCTTGAAACAGACCTCAGAGTCAGACCCGGTTTTGAATCCCTATTCTAATATTCACCCACTATCCTACAGCAAAGTACTTAACTTTGTATTTTTCACTGTTGTATTACCAGCATCCGTACAGTGGTGATACATAGTGGGTACCTCATAAATATTTGTGGAATGAATGGACAAATGAATAATCTCTGCAGATCTGAATTTCCTCACCTATAAAATAAAGTAACTATGTCTACCTCACAAGAAGAAGATTTATGTTCCAGGGAAAATAAAGGAGAATATATGTAAAAGAATCCAAGTATAAGGTCTAGTAAAAATTAATTCTCTACCCCAACTCAAATGTGTGTATGTGTGTGTTAGTCGCTCAGTCATGTCCAACTCGTTGAGACCCCATGAATTGTAGCTTGCCAAGCTCCTCTCTCCATAGAATTCTCCAGGTAAGAATACTGGAGTGGGTTGCCATTCCCTATTCCCTTCTCCAAGGGATATTCGCAACCCAGGGATCTCCCCCACACCCAGGGATCAAACCCATGTCCCCCACATAGTAGGCAGATTCTTTACTGTCTGAGCCACCAGCGAAGCCCACCTCAACTCAAATATCTCCAGTAACTCTACTTTCTTTACATGACAGAATGTACCAATATCAACACCTTTCAATCTTTCCTCAGCACTATTATACTTACACACAGCAATACACAGCATAATGGTCCAATTTAAAAGACTTTCTGTAAAAAATTTTAAACAAAAACAAAACAGAACAAAATCTGTAGCTATAACTTTTAACTGGTGATTTAATAATCTTTTTCTTTATGAAATATTTGCATAAACACTGTCATTTGTTCTAACTCTTAATAAATTCAATAAGATGTCTTCCAATAGTCCTAATCAATCAACTAATTTAAATTTTAAATGCTTTTGTAAAATATAGAAGCCACTATTTTTAAAGTTGTACACCTTACATTCTTTACAAATTATTACAAAGATATAAAAGTGTTTATAAAATTCAGCTCCAAATTTGTTAAGATAATTAACCTATTCTTTTGCTTCTCAAACAAATTCTTGAGAACAAGCAATCAGACTAATAATCTGTTGAAATATCATGAAAGTTTCCCAACTTTTACTTTAAAAGCTCTTAAGGAGAAGGCAGTGGCACCCCGCTCCAGTACTCTTGCCTGGAAAATCCCATGGAGGGAGGAGCCTGGTGGGCTGCAGTCCATGGGGTCACTAAGAGTCAGACACGACTGAGGGACTTCACTTTCACTTTTCACCTTCATGAATTGGAAAAGGAAATGGCAACCCACTCCAGTGTTCTTGCCTGGAGAATCCCAGGGACAGGGGAGCCTTGGTGAGCTGCCGTCTATGGGGTCGCACAGAGTCGGACACAACTGAAGTGACTTAGCAGCAGCAAGAGCACAGAGGTCCAACCAGTCCATCCTAAAGGAGATCAATCCTGGGTGTTCATTGGAAGGACTGATGTTGAAGCCGAAACTCCAATACTTTGGCCACCTGATGCAAAGAGTTGACTCTTTGGAAAAGACCCTGATGCTGGGAAAGATTGAGGGCAGGAGGAGAAGGGGACGACAGAGGATGAGATGGTTGGATGGCAACACTGACTTGATGGACATGAGTTTGGGTGGACTCCGGGAGTTGGTGATGAATACCGAGGCCTGGCGTGCTGTGGTTCATGGGGTTACAGAGTGGAACGCGACTGAGAGACTGAACTGAACTGATGAAACCTTATTATTCTCATACCTTTGAAAAGACACTAGGTGGCATCAGAAACACATTCCTCTTATAAAAAAGAAAGAAACCAAAAGTGGAAGGAGAGCAATTCTCAAGTTAATAGGCAGTGAATGCACTTTTTAAAACCTGTACTCCTATAATTTTTAATACATTGAACACTTCAATATTTTATACTACTTGATAAAGTCAAACTTCTTCCTTCTTAGGGCTTGTGCTTTTTGTGCCCTGAGAAACCTTTGCCTCATCCCAAATCACAAAGACTTTTTCCTGTTTTCCTTTATATGTTTTATAACTTCAGCTCTTACAACTGTCAATTGCCCACTTCAACTTAATTTTTATATATAGCATGGGGTAAGGATCAAGGTTCATTTTTTTCTCCCCGTGTAAACTGTTCTAGCACCATTTGTTGGAATGACTCTTTTACCATTAAATTACCTTGCATATTTGTCTATCTCTACATTTTCTATTCTGTTTCAGTGATTTGTGTGTTTATCTTTATACCAATATCACAATGTTGATTAATGTACCTTTACAGACACTCATAAAATCAGGTGGGATGATTCCTTCAACTCTGGTCTTCCTTTTCAATATTGTTTTGGTTATTTTAGGCCCTTTCCATTTCAATATAAATTTGAAATCACGTTGTTGCTTGGGTTTTGATTGTAAGTGCACTGAATTTATAGATCAATAGGAGAATTTACATCTTAATGGCACTGAGTCTTCCAATCCATAAACATATATTTTCCAATCATTTAAGTCTTTTTTAAATTCTCTCAGTAATGTTTTGTACTTTAAAATGTACTGATCTTAAAAAAATAAAATGTACTGGTCTTTCAAATAACTTTTTAAAATTTATCTTTATTCATTTGTAAATGATTATAAATAGTAATTTCAATTTCATTGTGTTAGAGAAATACAGTAAATCTTTGCCTATTTTTATATATAGATTTTTATATAAAACAGTGACAAGAAAATGAAAACATAAGGCATAGGCAGGGAGAAATACTTAGCATATATCTGATATATAATTTGTATCCAGAATATACAAAGAACTCATAAGATTCAGTAACAAGAAGACAAACAACCTAAAATTTTTAAAAGACAGAAGATCTGAACAAGTAATTCAAAGAATCACATCTATGTAATTTATAGTTTGACATGCTGTATTTGTTTAAAACAATCACATGGTGTAAACCCATTAAGGATCTGAGAGAAGCTCAATGCAGAACTAAGCTTCTCAAGTTATGTTTTGCTTTTTTAAAAAATTCTGGTCTTGGTGCAAATGTTAGTTATGTCTTTCTTATCTATATCACAGTTAGGTCACCATGCTGTATTCATGCTGCCTTAGATACTGATTCTTTTTTTTTGCCTTAGATACTTTTGTATTATTTTTGCAGACTTGTGATTGTCCCTCTTAACTTTCTTTTATGTAATTTATAAAAGTTTCTTTAAAATTCTTTTAACTTTGAATAAAAACTTAATTCATTAAAATGTGTGTGTGTGTGTGTGTGTGTGTGTGTGTGTGTGTGTGTATCCCTGATGACTAATGAGGCTGAATTGCTTTTCAGCCTCACTGGTCATCAGTGATATGCAAATTAAAACCACAGTGAGATACTCCTACACACCCATTAGAATGGCTAAAATTAAAATGACAATACCCAGTACTGAAAAGGATGTGGAACAACTGCTGGTGGGAATATAAAAATGCCAGTTTCTCAAATAGATAAACATACACTTGACATATATTCCAGGAATCTCATTCATAGGTATTTATCCAGCAGAAAAGAAAGCATGAGTCCACACAAATACTTGTACACAAACTTTCATAGCAGTTTTCTCCACAACAGGCAAAACACCAGAAACAATCCAAACGATCATCATCAACTGATGAATAAACAAAGTATGATATACCCAGACCATGGAATACTTTCATCAATAAAAAGGAACTACCAATGCTCAAAAACAATGTGGATGAATCTCAAAACCATTATGTTAAGTGAAAGACACCAAACACAAAAGATCACACGCTGTATGATTCCATTTACAAGAAATTCTGGAAAAGACAAAAAAAATCACAGTGACAGAAAGCAGGTCAGTGTTTGCCAAGGGCTGGCAGGGTAAAGAACCGATTATAAAGGGACGCAAGGGAACATTTCAGGGTGACAGAAATTTCCATACCATGATCTTCTTTATCTATATCATGACTGTGGTGGTGGTGGTGGTGATACAACCATATACAGCTCTGAAAACTACGGTGTTTCTCTTTGAAGCCATGTATGAAAATTAAAGAAAAATCATACGAGTTAAGAAACACGGAGAAAGGTTGTAAGGAGTATCTTGGATTGCATTTTTTGGCCATAGCATTAAGCATATGGGATTTTACTTACCTGACAGGGGACTGAACCCTGCACTGGAAGCCCAGAGTCTTAACCACTGGACCACCATGGAAGTCCCTTGGATTCCCAATTTCTTCAAAAGCATACCCCAATTACGTCACCTCAAAAAAGTTCTGAAATACTAAGTTAAGAATACAATAATAGGGACTTTCCTGGTGACCCAGTGGTTAAGAATCCACCTTCCAAGTCACGGGACCCAGTTTTGATCATGAGTTGGGAACAAAGATCCCACATGCAGAAAGGCAACCTAGCCCATGCTTAGTTGGGCTGCAACCACCAAGCTCATACACCACAACTAAAACCCAATAAATAAATAACCAAATAAATAAATAAAAACAATAATAGGGAATTCCCTGACAGTCCAGTGGTTAGGATCCCATGCTTCCACTGTAAGGGCTCAGCAGTTGTTGTCTGTGGGCTCCAGGCCGTGTGGGCTTCAGTAGTTGTCGACCAGGGGCTCATTAGTTGTGGCTCGTGGGCTCTAGAGCACACAAGCTCCAGCAGTTGCAACTGGAGTCTGGGCTCAGAAATCGCAGTGCTCAGTAACTGTGGCACACAGGCTTTAGTTGCCCATGGCATGTGGAATCTTCTCAGACCAGAGATCGAACCCATGTCCCCTGCATTGGCAGGCAGATTCCTAGTCAATGTACCACCAGGTAAGTCCTTCAATCCAATGCTGAGCTTGGCTTTTCAAAGGTTACTTTTCTCTGTTAAATCTCATTGTGCTGGTTCTTCTTGAACCATCATTTGTTTGTGAGGCTCTGG